CTATTTAACAATGATTGCTTCTTGGCTGGGTAAAGGGCCCTGTTGGACCAGAGCTTGGCTAAAGGAGTTCACATGCCGATGAGGCTGGTAACAGCTTGAAGACTTGCTAACTCAGCAATTGGCTAAACTACCAAAATGGAGAGATCATGAGCTTTCTGGGACACCTGGGTTTGCCTTGCTTTAATATCTAGCCTTTATAGCAGCCAAACACGGTGGTTAAAAGTGCAGACTCTGTTGCCAGACTGTCTGGTTAATCTGAACCCCTTTGTGCCTGGGTTTTCTCATCTGTAAATTGTAGGTAATAAAAATAGCTACTTCATTTGGACTGTTAAAGGGACTAAATGGACATATCTAAGGTTTTTAGAACTGTGCCTGGCAAGTAGGAGGCTCTAAGCAAATTTTAGCTATTATTGGTAATAATTACACAATATTATTGAAATGATTTTTAAAACTATAAAGCCAGAAAAATTAAGAAAGCAGGAGGGGACCATCAGCATACAGAATATTTTAACAAAATTTTGGAAGGTGGAAACTCAAATGGAATGGTAGTAACCAGTGAAACAGACCAAAGGAGCCCACAGCCTGAATACACATGTAACCCCTGGGAGACTCTGTACCTTGTACAGAACCCTGGAGCAGCTGGGAGCCCAGAATGCCAGGTTGAAGGCGGACAGGAATGATGGGAAGGGCTGAAAATCAAGAGACTAAATTAAAGTCTCTTCATGAGACAGTTGACTCCATCCACCCCACCATCAGACTCTTTAATATGCAGGTGTTATTAACATTGAGGCAGAAAATGAGTGGATTCTTCTAAGAAAATGGAATCAACTGTTTCAGCTGACTTAGAGGAGCTAGGGTGGGCCCTGGGCATCCCAAAACGAAGAATACTTCAAGAACTGGCCATTCTGTGCTCAAGGAACACACCAAGTGAGCTTTCAGCTACTAGCTCTGACTTTACAGCTAACTTGAAATCATTTTCTGAGGTGTTTCTCTGACATTGAGGGCTTCTCCAGGGTAAACCTTGGCTCCCCAATATGTTCTCCATAAAGCAAAGGGCTTAAGTTCAGGTCACACTCATGGCTTTTCATCAGAATTTTTGACCATAATTTTGATCAATCAGCTTTGAAATCGCCTAATTTTCAAACATGAATTGAAAACCAAGGATCAGTACACATTTGAGGAAAGCTGGTAATGTGAAAAATGAACAAAAAGGTAAATGGTAATTAGCCTTGGAGGAAACAGATCATTCAGGAGGCAGGTGAACTTTATTTGTATTAGTACTGATAAAGATAATTTGTATATCGGGACCCACAAAATGGGGGCTGCCTCAGTGGCCCAACCCAAGTCACAAATCTAAACCCAAGTCAGCCTGCACTTAGAGGAAACACCTGTCAAGGAAACCTAATATAAACCGATCACAATCCCCCAACTCAGCTTTACCTAGTTTGCCTGACCTGCTAGACGTATAATGAATCCCTGATCTCTTAGCCAATCATGCCTCTTCTCTATAAAACCCCCTCTTTCCCCCCCATCCCTCTGGAGCAGTGCTGTGAGACACTGTGCTCCCCCCAGTCTATGGATTGCTTTCCCTTGACTGAAGGACAACAAACTCATTATTAAGTTGTTTTAATTTTGTCATTTGACAGTATAGGAGAGGTTCATAAAAGATTGCGTTGGCTAAAAAAATCAGATCTTGTGAAAATAAGAAACAGACAACAAGAAAGAGCTGTGGAAAATTGAAAATATAATTGCTGAACTTAATAATTACCATTGGTGGGACTTCCTGGTGGTCCAGTAGTTAAGACTCCGCGCTCCCAATGCAGGGTGTCCAGGTTCCATCCATGGTCAGGAAACTAGATCCTGCATGCCGCAACTAAGACCCAGTGCAGCCAAATAAATAAATATTAAAAAAAGAATTTTTATTGGAAAGTTGGAAGATAATGAAGAGGAAACCTCCCAGAAAGTAAAGCCAAAGCATGGGAGAATATGTGAGCAAAAAGAAAAAGATAAGAACTTCAGTGATAAATTCCCATCTGAATAATGGGAATACCAGAAAGAGGGAAAAGAGAATAGTAGGCAGTAGGGAATTACCAAAGAAATTATAGAAGATAATTTCCCAGGGCTGGTGGGAGGCCCACACGTTCAGCTTGAAACAAGTCCACTGGGTCCAATGAATGTAGAAAGACCCACACTGAGACACAATAACTTTGAAATTTTATAACCCACAGATAAAAGAGAAAACCCTAAAAGATACCAGAAAGATGGAAACTGCCGTCAAAGAAATAAGGCTTGTACTAGCACCAGAAACATTAACCAATCTTAAATTATTTAGAATAAAACACTTCTGCTGTGGGACTTGGTAGGTTTTGTGAGACCTTTTCGTTCCTGACTAAGCCCTACTGACTCAGCACTCTAGACCATTTACTGGTGATTTCTCAGAAAACTGCAACTTGTTTTGAGTTTCAGTTCCTCAAATATGTTCTCACTGCTTCCCATTAAAAGACAAAGAGAGCACTCGTATTTACACTATGCATTCTCCTTCCATTTGACCAGGGCTCTGGATAAACCTCTAGGTAAGTAAATTACCATCTCTGGCAAAAGTGCTTTTCTTCCACACCTAAACTTATGACCCTTTTATTTCTCTTACTCTTGTTTCTCTCTTTGGAGGCAAGAGGACAGGCACTGGAGTCATACAGGTGTAGATTTAAATCCTTTGCACGACACAGCAGCATCACTGGTACTCTTAGCACTTGTAACTAATGAGCATGAAACCTGGAGAGGGCCTTGGAGATCTTCTCTCCTCCTGGAAATGGCCCGGATACCAGCAAAACTGACTACTGAACTTTGCTGTAGAAGTGCAGGATTGATTCCAGCTGGTTTGTTGCCACCCTGTGCTTATTTATCTCCAGGGAGGCCTGGAGCCATGGTGTTGTCTGTTGGCCAAGCCTAAATGAAACATACTAACTAGCGATGAATGTAGCCCTGTGCTAGGATCTGAGAGACCAGGGGGCAGCCTGTACCAGCTTGTTTGAGACTGGTCAGGCATCCTACTTTGGGCCACGTGACTGGAGCGGCATAAAAGACCCCTCCTCAGGTGACAGTGTGGTTTCCCTGAGACCAAGGTACCTTGCACATATCTAGGTGGTTCGTTACCTAAAATGAAGCATGTCCTAAACAACGGAGAAAGGGTCCTAGAAACTGGGGCTGGAGTCTGAGACTTCTCTGATGTTTGCCTGTATTTTTGTACCTTATCCTCTACCTTTATTTAATTCTGAAGTAAGTATACTATGTAGAGGCTTGTGAGTTTTTTCAGTTATCTGACCCTGTGTACTTGCTGAAGTTGGCAATTTGAATGGGATAATGGGAACAATTTTTTTAAATTTATTTATTATTTATTTACTTATTTTGGCTGTACCGGGTCTTAGTTGCAGCACACGGGATCCTTTTTTTTTTTTTTTAGTTGTGGCATGCGGACTTAGTTGGAGCATGCATGAGGGATCTAGTTCCCTGAACAGGGATGGAACCTGGGCCCCCTACATTGGGAGTGTGGAGTCTCACCCACTGGACTACCAGGGAAGTCCCGGGAACAGTTTTTGACTTAATTTAAATGCTGGCTCCGGCTTTGTTTAGGAGAAGAAAAGATGAAAAGTGGGAGAAAGACGTAGAACCACTGATGCCAGGCTGGCTGCCGAGGCCATCCTGGTTTGAATTTGCCCTAGTACTATAATTATTCATGCGAAGAAAAGCACAGCAATGGAATTCTTTTGCTATTTTAAAAAAATTTATTGAAGTATAGTTGATTCACAACGTTTCAGGTGTACACAGTGATTCAGTTATATATATCTTTTTTTAAAGATTCTTTTCCCATTATAGGTTATTACAAGATATTGAATATCGTTTCCTGTGCTATATAGTAGATCCTTGTTGTGTATCTATTTTATAGGTAGTATTGGGTATCTGTTAATCCCAAATTCCCAATTTATCCCTCCCCCACCCCCAGCAATGGAATTTAAAGGTGATAGACCCAGAGCCAGAAGAACCAGCTAAATGGGTTAAAACAGAAATATGGACAGAGGGGAAGTCAGCCAAGAATAGTGAGGCAAATAAGGAAGGCCTCAGCAGCCAGCCTGGCATCCCTGGTTCTAAATCTCTTTCCCACTTTTCATGGTTTGGGCTGTTTTGGCAAAAATGAAAGTACTAAGAGCGAGCCCTAGGCTGCCAAGTCCACCAAGCTTTGGCTGGTTCCTTCTGTAAAGGGAAGGAACATGATACTAGAGGAAGAATTGGGCAGATATTTCTTTTGTTTGGAATGTGACCCTCATCTGATATCCACTTAAGGGACTCTATGGGAGAGGGCATGAAGAGACAACTGAAATGAAGGAGCTCTTCAGTCAAAAAGCCAAGTAACTGATAGAGCTTCCTGAGGAACCATTGCTGAAATGTACTGAACATATTAGTGACAAAGGAGCTCTTTTTCCTTGCATTAGGTACTGCCAAATGAAGGGCATGCTTGGGCTTAATCAAGATCTTCAATTAGCTGCAACTGTTGCAGAAATGTGGGTAGATGGGCAAATTCTAAATCAGCTGAGCTGGATTAAGGCGGGGCACATAAAGCTGGTAGAGTGGAAATATCTGTAGGTATTCAATGGAATACCTTGTTGATTCTTGAAATGTTGAGAATGCAGGCACGCATCTTTGAACTTGTTATATGATGATATGGGTATCCCCTATTTTATGCCTTTAACTTAAGTGACAATTGATGCTGTGATAAGGGGGCCTCCAACTGTTTGGACTCCATAGGTGACCTTACTGTTGAGGGCAGGATAAAGGTCTGCTGTCACAGACCTACTAGCATATTTGCTCTGAATTAGGCTAAATGATGAGCAGAAGATCAGTGTTATTCAGAAGAAAAAACAGAAAGAATAAAGGGTTGAAACAAACCTCAGGACTAGTAAGCCAGGTGGCGATGTTCATTAATATTTTCTTCCCCTTTTCAGAAAATGGCCGCCCAGGAGAAAGCCCCTGACGAGAGGATTTCCCAGTTTGATTATGCTTTGCTCCCGGAGCTGTCTGGTCTTCTAGGCATAGATGTGCATCAATATGTAAAGGAAATAGAAGAAGAGCAGCAGAAAGAACGAGAAAAAATGCAAAAAGGCTTTAATTCCCAAATGCGTAGTGAAGCAAAAAGGTTAAAGACTTTTGTGACCTATGAGGCCTACAGTGCATGGACACCCCAGGAGATGGCAGTGGCTGGGTTTTATTTCACTGGCATAAAATCTGGGGTTCAGTGCTTCTGCTGTAGCTTAATCCTCTTTGGTACCAGCCTCCAGAGACTCCCCATGGAAGACCATAAGAAGTTCCATCCGGATTGTGAGTTTCTTTTGGGCAAAGATGTTGGTAACATTGCCAAGTATGATATAAGAGTAAAGAATCCAGAGAACAAGTTGAGGAGGGACGACAAAGCAAGATACCAAGAAGAGAAGGCCAGACTCAAATCCTACAAGAAATGGCCATTTTATGCCCAAGGGACAGCCCCAAGGGAGCTCTCAGCTGCTGGCTTTGTCTTTACAGGTAGTTTGAAGTCATTTTCTGAAATGTTTTGCTGGAATTAAGTTTAGGTTCCATATTTCAGTTGCAATATTTTGTAAATCTTTCCTCACTTGGTCAATGTGTTATATTAGGTATAAGGTCTCTTTTATTAAAATTCAACTTCAGTAATTTCACTTTAGCTTTATTTTATATGTAGTACATGTCAATTTACCAAAAATATATAAAAAATAAGAAAGTGACTTTTCCTAAAATTTTGGACCTTAGACAATACTTGACTGGATTTCTAAGGCCCTGAAAATAAGCTGTGAGGTCAGCCTGACCCCAGTCTCCTCCTCACCCATCCTCCTTTTGCTGCTCTGAAATGATCTTTCTTTGATTCTTTTAATTGCAGCAATATTATAGGGTTTTTGTTTTTGTTTTTGTTTTAACCTTAAAGCTAACTCTAACATATAGGACAAGTTGCATTTCAGAAAATTACACTTTGTTTGAATTATCCTAGCCACGCCATAAATGTTATGACAGATCTGAGTGAGAATTGTGATAACAAAAACAGCTCTCATTTACTGAGTACCTACTTGATGCTAGGCATGGATTAAGCACTAATACTAATCTGACAAACTTGCCCTTTCCCCCCATTTCACAGTTGACTTCATTGAGGCTCAAAGAGTTTAAGAAATGTGCCAAAGGATAACCAACATGGACCTACTGTATAGCACAGGGAACTCTGCTCAATATTATGTGGCAGGCTGGATGGGAGGGGAGTTTGGGGGACAAAGGATACATGCGTATGTACGGCTGAGTAGCTTTACTGTGCACCTGAAACTATCACAACATTGTTAATCGGCTGTACTCCAATATAAGATAAAAAGTTTAAAATAAAAGAAACAAAATATTTCAGTTCATCTCAGGTACACTGCATAGTGCTTGGCACACAGTGTTATGTTGGATATATCAAATGTTAATTGTTACTATTGTTAATTAATTAATAGCAGAAGCTGAAGAAATTCACCTTGATGGTGTTACCCAAGTTGGACCCAAGAAGAAAATTTCAGAGATTTCTGGTATAGAATTCCCCAGATGTCACAGTGTGCTTATCACTTATTTCTTCAAGATGTTATAGTTAATGTCCTAATTGACATAGAGACTGAAGCAGGGTAAAATGCAGAAAAAACGGATCTTTCTATCGTGTTCAAAAAAGTTGGAGTCTGTAGTTTGATTGTAATTTGCCTACCAGTTTGTGTACCATTTACATCTCAAAATGCCTTAAACCTCAAGTAAGTTTTCTTCTTAGTTTTGAAAGCTAGTGTGTTGATCCCTTTGTAGTTCCCCTAAAAACAGTTGTCAGAAAAGAAAAATATACTTGTCAAATACAAATGTCAAATGTGAAGAAAAAAAAAAAGAAATGTACCTAAGTTTCCACTGAAATTACATAGCAAAGCTACAGCTTAGGTCTTCTAACTGCGCTTTACTTCATGAGTGCGGGGGATTCCTCTGCTTCCCCACGACTTCAGTGGGCATACTGAGTCCAACAGCTTAGAGTTCTGTGTGTGCCACATCTGAGAGGTGGGGTCCCAGGCTTCGGAAATGGTCACTTAGGGCAGTGGGGCTGTGGATGAGGATTCAGCCAGATGAAAGTGTGAGTGGGCAGATGGGATGGAGCGTGTCTCATTCATGCACAGAGCAGTCAACTTCTGGAGACACCCCTTCTGGGCCATCCCATGGCGCTGTTGCCAGGCAATCTAAGTGTCTTCCTTCATATGCAGGTAAACGTGACACTGTACAGTGCTTTTCCTGTGGTGGCTGTTTAGGAAATTGGGAAGATGATGATGACCCCTGGAAGGAACATGCCAAGTGGTTCCCCAAGTAAGTAGATAAATATTTTTTGCTTGTAGTTTTTTTTTTAAGACAAAACAAAACTAAAGGCAAGAGTCACCTTCCCAGAGTAGAACCTTCAGTTTTGATCTTTCTCTCTCTTAAATTGGAACACTCCAGGATTTATTCAAGCAAGAAAGCCCTGATGATATCGTGAAATGTTTTAATTATATAAGTTCAAAATAGTTCCTCACTGTTTTATTATCCAAAATACTAAGATATGTTTTGCCAAGTATAAGTTTCAGGATCTGCCTTAATAAACAGGAATAATTTGCATAGGGATGATGTAAAATGGTACATAAAGGAAGTTGGAAAGTAAGACAATGTTTAAAATATTATTACAAATGGTTTCATGCACTGCTGAATATATACCAAATGAAAACATTGTATTTCAATAACTCAGTAAGAGTTTTGATTATTACAGTGGTCTTGAGTTCTCTGCTTAGAAAATGAAGTGCTTTTAAAAATTATTTCTAATGTTACGTTTACTAGTATTTTCTACATGGCTCTGTATCTACCAAATACAGATTCATTCCTTTAACAATTTTTAAAACTTTCATTTTGGAAAATTTCATATACAAGTAGAGAGAACATTTATCAACACATGGCCAAATCATATTTCATCCATCTCTCACCCACTCCTTCCCCAGAAATAAAAATAACCAAATTATTTTAAAGCAAATCCCAGACATCATATAATGTCACTTGTTGATATTTTAGTATATAACTCTAAAATATAAAAATATTTTAAAGAAATATAACCACAGTATCATTCTGTCTTCTAAAGAGGATTAACAGTAATTCCTCAATAACATCAAATATCTGAGACAGTGTTCAAATGTCCACATCCCCCGACCTCACTTTCTCTTTGCCATTGGTTGATTTGAATCAGGATCCAAACAAGGTCCATACATTACATTTAGTTGATATATCTCAAGATTTTTAATTTACAGATTTCCTCCTCCCTGACTTTTTCTTGTCACTTACTCATGAGAGGAGCCATGTAGTCTGTCCTGTAAAATTGCCTACACTCGGTGTTTGCTGAATATTTCTGTGGTGTCATTTAACATGTTTCTCTACTTCCTGTATTTCCTATAATCTAATAACTGGATCTAGCAGTGTGCTTCGGCTCATGGTTTATTTCTTTAACATATTTGTCATACACCTACCACATGCAAAGAAGTTTCTGGTTGGATCGTAGGTCAACCACAAAACAACTGGGCTGTTTTAGGTTTATAAGTCATCTTTCACATGGACAGCCACGCTCACAAAAATGGAAGTATGTCTGATATGTTAAGTGAAAAAAGCAGTATGCAAAATAATGTGTAGTATAAGCCTTTAAAACCATTCAACCTATATATGGACTTGTTTGAAATATATATAGAAAAAGTTAAGAAAATATACAACCAAACAATCGAACTCTTGAGGTTTGGGTTTGTCAGGAGATGAGGTGGAGAGGGATTTTCATATGTTAATTTGTTCACTTCTATCTTGTTTAAATTCTGGGAAACAAATGTGTATTTCTTTTATGGTTGAAAAGAAAGTGAGGGGGTGGGAGGGAGAAAGGGAACAAAGGAGAGAAGGAAGAGGGGAAGAGAGAGAGATGGAGAGGGAGATTGGAAAGGGAGGGGAGCTCTTCCTGACAAGCAGATGAGACAGTTATAGGGATACAGGAAGCCAGATGGTTAAATACTTTGAATGTCATTCTGGTTCCTTGACCAATCAAGAATAGACACCCAGCCAATCATACTGAGTTTTGGCAGTGAACCTCATGGATGTGTACCGAGTGAACATCAGCCCTGGCTCTTGGGCACCTGTCGTAGCTGTAGCCTCAGCCAATGCTTCAATTATTCTCATGGCCACAATGCTTAGTGTCACTGGGTTATACACTGGACAACTCCCAGCAGCACCATTCACATCAACCATCATGTGATGGTCTAACACCAACAAGAGTTGCACATCCTGTCTTGGGTGGCCCTGGTACACCTTCTCTGACGTAGGACTGAGGGAAAGGTGAGAAGCATAGGGAGATGTGAGTCCAGCACTCAGCTCCAGAGGTGGAAGGAGCTAAGGTCTGCTGCTATCAATACAAAGGGCAGGGCAGAGCGCAGAGGCTTGCAGATACACAGAGCCGGCCGCTTGCTGACCCCCATTACTGACCCTCTGAGTCTCGTGTGTAAAAATGAAAATGATAATCCATAGCTGGTAGGGTTGTTATAAGGGTGATAAGTAAAGTATATGGAGCAAATGCCTTGTAAAAACTCCCGTGTATTCCATGACCGTTTCACCTTCCACCTGTTTGTCATCATGAGCATACGCTTAGCCAATACATTTCAGAGCTGGAATTAGAACTAAGAATTCCCCAGTTTCTTGTTGGTTGTGCTCTAACCTTAGCAGTTTGGGCATCAATTTTGGCTTTGTTTGCTGCTTCTATAAACTATGGACACAATGTCTAAGTCTGCTCCTACTCATTAAAACGTAGTACTCAGTGTACTAAATAATTGTAAATAAATAAAATAAGCTGATCTTTATTGTATTTTTTTAAACATTTTATATATATATATATTTGTAATTTATTTGTTATTTATTTTATTTTTGGCTGTGTTGGGTCTTTGTTGCAGTGCACGGCCTTCTCATTGCAGTGGCTTCTCTTGCTGCGGAGCACGGGCTCTAGAGCACAGACTCATTAGTTGTAGCTCGTGGGCTCTAGAGCACAGGCTTCAGTAGTTGTGGCACATGGGCTCAGTAGTTGTGGCTTGCGGGCTTAGTTGCTCCACGGCATGTGGGATCTTCGTGGATCGGGGCTCGAACCTGTGTCCCCTGCATTGGTAGGCGGATTCTTAACCACTGCACCACCAGGGAAGCCCTTTGTTGTATTTTTTTAAAGAAGTAGTGTCTATCGAGCACCTTCTCAATCCACACCAAGCATGTGGGGAGGGCCCCGTCCGTCACGTGCTATGTGGATTGTGTACAAATTTGGGTTGCGTACAGGTTTGAGGCACTCCTCAGGAGGATCTGTACATCTAAAACCTGGGGACCTTAGCTACCCAGAGTGGTGGCCCTAGAACAATATACGACTCACCTAGTGGAGTTCACTTTCTCATGTCTGTACAAGAGAACAGTGGCAAGATTGATCACTTCCCGTTAGTGGCAGAACTGGGACTAACATTCTGGCCTCCTGACTCTCAGCCCTTATGTTACTATAAAATCACTAGAAAGGAACCTTAAATTTGAATGAGAGAGATTTTTTTAAAGTTAACTTAAAAATTGCTTCTGGGGTTTCCCTGATGGTGCAGTGGTTGGGAGTCCGCCTGCCGATGCAGGGGACACGGGTTTGTGCCCCGGTCCGGGAATATCCCACACTCCGCGGAGCAGCTGGGCCCGTGAGCCTTGATCCCTGAGCCTGCGCCTCCGGAGCCTGTGCTCGGCAGTGGGAGAGGCCACAACAGTGAGAGGCCCGTGTACCGCAAAAAAGAAAAAAAAAAAAAAATTGCTTCTGTTTTGTGGAAAGGAATGTGTTTTTAAAATGTATTCCATATGCTCTTTTTAAAAAATTCAATTTATTAATTTCCATTGTATTTTTTTTACAGAGTAGTGATATATATTTTTCAGTGGATGAAATTTATTATTGTTTGTTATCCTTGCTGCCAGTAACTTTTATTTAACCACAAGAACTAGATATAGTCACCATAGTTTAATTTAACAAAGAAAACCCCCTCCAGTCTATATATTACTGTAAATCTGTCTCTTTGATTGAATTATATTTTGTTTCAAGAGAGAAGATAATCTGAAGATTTAGTTTTAAATTATTACACATGTTGTTAATGGAAATAATAATTATATGAGAATAATGATAATTGTCATAAGTTTGGGGGTAAATTTTTTGACAGTTTTATCAAAGTAAAATAAGATTGAGCAATTTAAAGCATACAATGCAGTAAGTTTTAACAAATGTCCATTGTGTCACTGCAGTTATATAAAGATACAGGACATCTCTATTACAGTATCAGGGTACATTTTAATTCTGTTTATTAATTATAGATGTGAATTTCTTCAAAGTAAGAAATCCTCAGAGGAAATTACCCGGTATATTCAAAGCTACAAGGGATTTGTTGGCGTCACGGTAATTTACAACAGCAAATTTTTTCTCAAGTTGGCTTTTGAGTACCTATTATCTGAAGGAGAAGGGGGCGGCATCACTCTTTTGTCATGGGCTCTCCTTCTTTCTTCCCTTATTTCATTCTCCTACCTCTCATTGGGCAGATTGAAGAAAAGCATGTTCTCTTGGTCAATTAGAGCCCTTAGAATGTTTTTTCAGGGCTGCCTTTTTGGTTGGTCTCTCTGCCTTCCTGGTAGCCTTACCCTCTTTGACTGAGGTCACCTCCCCTAGCTTCCCTTGGCCACCCCCATCTGAGTGCCCGCATAAGACATTCAGACCACTGCACACTACCCACAGTGGGCCTCAGAGCTGGTTACTTTATGCTGTATCATGAAGGCTTCCCTAGTGACAGGTGATGGGAAAACCCAGCTTAAATTGCTTATGCAAAAAGAGCAAATTTATTGGCTAACACGACTCAGATGAGAACCCTGCAGAAAACATGGCCTGAAAGTGGGGGAGGAGTGTTTCTTCAGATAGCAATCTGGGTGCAGTTTTCAGAGAAGAATCAGTTACTCAATACCTAACCACCCTTCTGAATCCAGTTTTCTTCCTGTATCTCATACTTCTCATTAGTCAAAGCACCTCTGTGATATCTTGTTGTAACTTGGCTTTTGAGTTGGATCTCTGGAAAAACCGACCCGGAGACGGCTTCTTGTTGAGTATAAATAAACAGTCACAGTATTTTTTTCTTCCCTTTACACTGCATAAAAAATTACAACATTAATAGAAATAATAATTAAAGGAATAATTCTCTAACAACACTGACACTCAATCCAATGAAACTCTTCATTTGGGGGCAGGGTTGGAGGAGGGAGTTCTTTTAATTTTTATTCATAGATAGTTGTATGCTCCAAGTCGATAACTTGAATTTTTAAAAATTGAGGTATTGATGCACAATATTTGTTTCAGGTGGTGTACAACACAATGATTCACAATTTTTAAAGGTTATACTCCATTTATAATTACTATAAAATATTGGATATGTTCCCTGTGCTGTACATTAGATACTTGTAGCTTATTTGTTTTATACATAGTCATTTGTAGGATAACTTGAGTTTTAATTTTCTCCAGGGAGAACATTTTGTGAATTCCTGGGTCAAGAGAGATTTACCTATGGCTTCAGGTAAAGATTCAGACGTATTTCAAAAAGCTTTGCTTGTTTATTTCTTCTTTTGCTTTTTCTTTTTCAGCCTAATTTTTTTTTAACCCCTCCATTTTCCTCCTCATTTTATGGTGCCATAGTAATTAAAAAAAAAAAATTTCATTAGAGTTTCTGGTCTCCTGGAGTGACTTAATTTTTTTTTTTTTAGTTTTTTTTTAGTTTTTTAACATAAATGAGCATAGGGAAATATGTCAGGGTTGGGTCCTTGACTGAATTTCCTTTAAAACAATTAAGGTTTCTGGGTAAAATGGTTTTGAAAACATTCTTAAATGGATCAGTGTCTGTTAAGAAATTAAATGCGAAATAATAGAAAATAAATATTGGTCTCTGCCCCTAGTTCCTGGCACAGAGCTCCTAAAAATCCATGTAATTTCCTAAGTGATAACATCACGAGGTGCATCTCTTGTTCTAATATTGGATCTTTGACACTGTCCCTGACACAGGGCTCCTAAAACCTTGTAAACTCCTAAGTGATAAGAACACTGGGGGCGTCTTTGGTTTCTAATGAGGTGATTCTGGGTGAGCTCCTGGATGGCTTCTGGGAGCTGGTCACTGGAAAGAGCAAGCCATGATTAGAAGTTTGAATTTTCAGCCCCACCCGCTATTCTTCAGAGCAGGAAGAGGGGTATAAATGGAGTTAATGATCGATCATGCCTGTGTGAGAAAGCCTCCATAAAAATCCCAGTAGTACAGATTTCCAGGAGCCTTCAGGTATGTGAACACATCCACACTGGGAATGTGACACATGCCAACTCCATGAGGATAGAAGCTCCCAGATCTCACTCTATGAGCCAGTTCATCTGGCTGTTCACCTGTACCCTTGATCATATCCTTTACTAAACAAACGTAAGTGTTTCTCTGAGTTCTGTGATCCACTCTAACAAATGAAATGGGGTAGGAGCAGTGTTATGGGATTGAGCCTTTAACCTGTAGGATCTGACACTACTAAGTAGACAGCGTTGGAACAGAGTTAAATTGTAGGACACCCAGCTGGTGTTGCAGAGAATTGTTTACTGCAAGAAAACCCCCATACATCTTGTATCAAAAGTATCGTGAATGTGATGGTAGTGTGAGAGTAAAGGAGACACACAGGAAAAAAAGACTGAGGTTTTTCCAGTACATTAAGTCATATTCCAGTTAAAACTCAA